CGGAGGAACACTTCAGAGAATGCCCATTCCTGAATGGAAGTGGGAGAGAATTGCAATGGATTTTGTGGTTGGTCTTCCAAAGACAATGAGTAAGTATGACTCTATTTGGGTGATTGTTGATAGGTTAACTAAATCTGCTCATTTCATTCCGGTCAAGGTGACTTACAATGCCGAGAAGTTAGCCAAAATCTATATCTCAAAAATCGTTCGGTTACATGGGGTTCCACTCTCCATCATATCAGATAGAGGTACGCAGTTTACTTCTAAGTTTTGGAAAACACTGCATACGGAATTGGGTACTAGGTTGGACCTTAGTACTGCATTTCACCCTCAGACCGGTGGTCAATCTGAGCGAACGATTCAAGTGTTGGAGGATATACTTCGTGCTTGTGTGATAGAATTTGGTGGTCATTGGGATAACTTCTTACCCTTAGCGGAGTTTTCATACAATAATAGCTATCACTCAAGTATTGACATGGCCCCATTTGAAGCATTGTATGGTAGGAGATGTAGGTCTCCCATTGGGTGGTTTGATGCATTTGAGGTTAGACCTTGGGGTACTGACCTTTTGAGGGATTCATTAGAGAAAGTGAAATCTATTCAAGAAAAGCTTCTAGCGGCGCAAAGTAGGCAAAAAGAATATGCAGATCGAAAGGTTAGAGACTTAGAGTTCATGGAGGGTGAACAAGTCTTGTTGAAGGTTTCGCCATGAAAGGGGTGATGTGGTTTGGTAAGCGAGGTAAACTAAGCCCAAGGTATATTGGTCCCTTTGAAGTACTTAAGCGAGTAGGGGAGGTGACTTATGAGTTAGCCTTGCCTCCAGGGCTGTCCGGAGTGCATCCGGTATTTCATGTGTCTATGTTGAAAAGATATCATGGGGATAGAAACTACATTATCCGTTGGGATTCAGTTTTGCTTGATGAGAATTTGTCTTATGAGGAGGAGCCTGTTGCTATTTTAGGTAGAGAAGTTCGCAAGTTGAGGTCAAGGGAGATTGCATCCATCAAAGTTCAATGGAGGAATCGACCCGTTGAAGAAGCCACTTGGGAGAAAGAGGCTGATATTCAAGAAAAATACCCACACCTGTTTACAGATTCAGGTACTTCTTTTCGCCCTTGTTTTTCCTCTTATGATCGTTCGGGGACGAACGATGGGTAAATTGGTATCTATTGTAATGACCTGTTTAGTCGTTTTGAGCAGCAGACTTTGATTCGGGAAAAACTGGCAGGAACAACGGACCCCACGACGGACCGTCATGGGCACGACGGACCATCGAGGGGGTCTCGTTCCAAAATACTTAGAATTCTGAAAAATGGGCACTGAAATCGACTCTCTGAACTTCGTAACGGAATGGCAGGACGGACCGTCACAGGTGTGACGGACCGTCACAGACTCTTCAGAGAAATTGAGTCTTTGAACTCTGTGACAAGGCAGCAAGACGGACCGTCGCAGGCGCGACGGGCCGTCACAGACTGCGTAATCCCAGTCTGGGTCGAATTTCTTTAAATGTTTTAAGGGACGTTTTTGACTATTCCTGCTTTAATTATAAATTTAGTCGGTTAATGTTAATAAAATCTAATTACTTGGGGGTTAAAAGAGGTAACCTTGAGTTAATTAGTGAGGTATTATTGTCATCTTTTATACTTAATTATAAGCTAATTAGGGTAAAAGAAAGGGAGTTGGAACAAGAAAACTAGAAAGAACAAAGAGAGAGAGGGAGAATCGAACGAGAAGGTGAAAAGAAGAGGAGAAACACAAAGCTTTGGGAAATTGCTTGCTTGATTACTAGTCTTCGGTGGAGGTAGGTTATGGCTTTTATACTATTCGTAGTTAACTCTTAATAGCGAATGATATGTGTTGGGTGTATTGTAAGTCTTCTATATGCTTAATTGTATGCTTGCATGAATGTGATTATATAATTGTGATGAAATAAGCATGATGAAGCTATTGAATCCCAAATCTTGAAAACCCCTTGTTAATGATGATGCCTTGGTATAAAAGAAGGCTTGATGAACTAAAGTAATGAGATTGATGATGCCTTGGTATAAAAGAAGGCTTGAGGAATTAATGGAATGAAATTAGGGGATCGGGTGTCACGAACCGACACGTAGAATTAGGGGATCGGGTGTCACGAACCGACACGTAGAATTAGGGGATCGGGTGTCACGAACCGACACGTAGAACTAGGGGATCGGAGTGTCACGTTCCGACACATAGTAGTAAGGGAGCGGAGTGTCACGTACCGACACAAGAATAAAGGTGACGAATCTTGAAAGATGTTAATATACTCAATCTAATGAACCTAATTCCCAAATGAGTATGATATGGAGGCTTGAGTCCTCATGAATGTACTTGACGTTATTTATCAAAGATCCTTGTACATGGTGTTGCTACAGATTGAGTATTGTAGTTGATTTATGATATTATCTGATATATACTGTTTTCTATTTTGAGTTGGCCGATGATATCTACTCAGTTCCCGTGTTTTGTACTGACCCCTACTTGTATGTTTCTTTTTGATTATTTATGGAGTGCAGCAAACGTGCCGTCGTCTTCAACTCAACCGCAACTCTAGCCAGTCTTCAGTACTCCGGATTTCAGGGTGAGCTAATGCTTCTAGCTTGGACTGGATCTTCCTCTTCATGTCTTGATACCTTGAAGTTCCGGCATGAACTAGCTTTTTATGTATTTAAGCTTCTTAGATACTCTTAGATTAGTAATTTGAGGATAGATGTTCTTGTGATGATGACTTCCAGATTTTGGGGATAATAATAGTTGTTGAGTTTTTAGAAGTTATTGAATTGATTTTTATTAATGAGTTTAAGTCTTCCGCATTACTTTCTGTTGATATTATATTGAAATGTTAAGGTTTAGATTGGTTGGTTCGCTCACATAGGAGGGTAAGTGTGGGTGCCAGTCGCGGCCCGATTTGGGTCGTGACAGGAAGAGATTGGGTTGTCTCGGAAAAAAAAAGTGAAATGGAGAAGAAAGAGATTTTTATTTATTTTTAAAATTTATTAGTTTCTTTTTAAATTTATTATTTTCTTTTTTAATATTAATAATTTAAAAATAAAAGTTAAAATTTTAAATATCATGTTCACTTGTCTTTAGAGGCGTGTGACTACACTATCTTGTCAACTCATCTATATTAATGTCAAATAAGGATAGTCAACGGTCAAAGGAGTTTAATATGTTGTGTTACATTGAGTATAAGGGTTTAATTGACAAAACGTTTAATAGAAGAATCCACTATTCAAACTGATACAAGTATAAAAGTCTACCAGACCATTTCGCTATTTAAAAATAAACAAATAACTAAAAATTTAAAAAATTATCATATAAATTAAAACAAAAAGACCATCTAACGACATTTCTCGATATTTGTGACAATTCTTTGCTTGATTGGATCAAAAAAGTGAAAAAGTAATTTGATTCCATGAACATTAGTGGACAACACAAAGGACAAGTTACATGAAAGTGTTGTGTGGATCCCCATTACACGTCTCCTTTTTGCAAGCATCAAACTCTCTTTTTCCGTAGCGAGTAAGTCTATTTTAAAAAATATATTAATTTGATATTTATTAATTTATAAAAAAAAGTTTAAGTAAATTTAAATATTATATAAAAAATTTCTTAACAAAAATAATTTTATATGTGCAATAAGCAAATCGTGCTCACTACGCTCCAAGTGTGAACATGACATTTCTAGACTTCACATGACTCAATTTGTTTGTTTAAGTAAATTGCACTTTTAGCACTTAAATTATGATTTAAATCTAATTTTGGCTCTATAAGATTATTACATACTTCTTCTGTTTAAAAAAGAATAAAAATCGAAGGGTTTCAAAATAGAATATTAAATATTCAAAAATTTAGTCTTAATTCAATTATTGATTTCTTAGTTTTTAAAATAAAGCTTGAATTTTAAGAAACTAAATAGAATATGATAATATTATTTTTGAAGGATCATAAAGTATCGACGTTATTTTTTTAAGTCATATATATTTTTACAGTTCTCAAAAAGCTCTCATCAAACTTGAAAGACAAAATTAATGAATTTAGGACATAAATAGTAAGATTGGACAAATCAAAAGTAAGAAACAAAATGTAAAATTGTCAATTTGTATAATTATAATTTACATATAATAAAGTGATAGAATTCTAAGTGCAAACACGTATCATTATCATTCACCGGGATAAGGGATAACCGATCAAGTAATATTTAATAACCTCATAAATTCATGTCATGTTTATAATTAAAATTCATTTAAATTACATTTATTTTAATAATAAATTTAAATTATATATTCATCTTAATAATACAAACAACAAAACTATGTCAATTATTTTTATTTTTTTTAAACTATTAAATAAAGCAATTAAGTGTATTCAACCTAAAATTTTCAAGAAAAAAAATAAAATTGACAGGTATGCGGATCGAGAGTTGACGATAAGACTCAATTTGATAATGCAAATAGTATCAATCAGGTATATTAAATTTTCATTTTCAATCTTAATTTTTTTTGGAAAAATATTGTCTTGGGTATACACTTACTTGTTTTATTCTATAGTTTTAAAAAATAAAAAAAGTTAAAAACTTTGTCGTTTTTACTATCAAAATGAGTATATAATTTAAATAAATCTCAACCCTAAGTAATCACATAATACATATGACGAATTTATAAAGCCATTAAACATTAATTGACCTAATTATACTTGATCAGATCTTTAAACATTAATTGATCTAATTATACTTGATCAGATCTTTATTCCACAATAAGACTATATCATCTAAATCAACAAAAAGAAGAAGATATTCCCTCGAGTAATCGAAATCAATCTAATTAATTAACATAATCTTTTTTTTTACATAAACGTATAATAGTAGGACCATAACCTTTAATGAACCGAAAATATAGGGACTAAAAACATAAAAACCTCTTCAATATATAGCTCAAACTTAACCAACCAAAAATAGATAACATTAATTCTTTCTCTCATTTTTTTCCATCCTCTCCCCACAAAAAATCTTTTTCACAATTTTGTCAATCAAAAAAAAAAAAAAGAAAAGAAAAAAATGGCTTGTGGTGATGATGATAAATTGTGTCTTGATTCAATAAGAAAGAGTTTAATTAGACAAGAAGATACCATTATTTTCAACCTTATTGAAAGAATCAAATTCCCAATAAATCCAACTTTATACAAACAACAATTACCTCCTCCTTCCAATTTTTCAGGATCCTTATTTCAATACTTGTTTCAAGAAACAGAATCCCTTCAATCCAAGGTAACAATTTCTCTTCTTCTGTTTGTTTTTCAAAGCCATAATCAGAATTTTTAAAGTGCTAATAATTAAGTTTTAGATTTGATATGCATATAAAATTTAATAAATGAACATAAAAATATTCTAAAAGTTATTAAATTCGATCGAACTGGTATTTGTTGTTAAAAGTTATTAAATTCGATCGTACTGATATTTGTTGTTAGGAGATGTTAATGGTGTTTGTCTTTTATATTCTTACTCTTTTGGTAGGTTTTCCTTATTTTTGGGAACTTAATATATTCCCTTGTTTACTTGTTTGCTATTTTAAATTTGGGTTGACCATGACTTATTTATATTTTATCTATTTTTTCACTACATAGTGGATGATTCTATAATGACACTTAGGTCTCATTTGTTTACATTTAAAAAGAGTTTGAATTTTAATTATTTAGATTGGTCCTTATATTTTAAAATTAAATTTTAATTATTTATATTTATTTTATTAAGTTTGTTTGTTTTGTTTTTTATAGTCTCTTAATGAATAAGATCTATAACATACTCTTAATATCACTGATATTCAAAAATAAAACTCATATATTAATTCAACTATATGAGTACAATTCATAAAAGTTGTTTTCTTACTTAATTAATGTTAATTACATGCTTACCGTTATAATTTTTTTTATTCTTATTAACTTAATATATGTTTTACTTTCATACATTAATCAATATATTTGAATTTCTATGCAATATAATATTTAGCACAATGCTAGAAAATAAGAAAGTATTAATTATTTAATCGATAGCAATAACAAATGTCTATTATAAAGTAAAATGTTTTCATAAATATTATATTATTATTATTCTATGTAAACTATTTTACATTGTATTATATTAGATTCTAATAGTTTTTGAGTGGAAATAATACTCATGTTGATGATGTAACTTAATGTTAAATTCTTAAAAGATAAATCATATTACCTTGTTACGATAAAAATGTTCAAAATATTATTTTTTATATAAAAAAAACTATTTTACTAAAATGAGATTTTTATAATATTTTATTGATATAACATTTAATTTTATATGAACATTCAAATATTGAAAATAAACAATCCTAATAATTTAGTGTTCAGAATCAAAAACAACATTTTTATTTGAATTTACACAACTAGATCTTAATGCACATCTTAATATTCAGATTTACATTCAATTTCAGATGTCTTAATCTTAATCGAAATAAATAAAACCTTAAATTTATAACGTATATCTAATCCACGCATTTATTTATCGTCCTTCTGAAGTTAGTTTAGTTGGATTTTGATTTGGCCATTGACTTTTTTTTCTTTCAATTTCTCCATTTATTTAATATTAGGATAATGGTACTTTTATCGTAATTTTCTAAAATGATCTATTAGATAAGGAATGATTTAACTTATGCTTACTTAAGTAATGATTACTAATTCAAAAAAGTTATGTTTCTTCTTGATTTTAATTGTTTTTAACAAATAAAATATTAAATACACGTTCATATTTAATTTAAAAATTTGAATTTGAGCTAAGAATATAAAGAGCTTTATCCTAAAGAAAAATTTATATCAATATACCATGATGGTAAACCAAAATAAATAAAATGATACAATTTACTCTGAACCAATAAAACAAATTAAATTTAGTTATTCAAAATTATCCATACATAAAGCAAAAAATAAATTTCTTTAATTTAATTGATTTTATTATATAACAGGTTGGTAGATATTTGGCCCCAGAGGAAAATCCTTTCTTCCCAGATAATTTGTCTGACTCAATCATACCACTTACCAAATGCACACCAGTAAGTACCTATTTATTAGATTAAATAATGTATATATATATTTTTAAAAAATAATTATGTTGTGTTTTTAACTGGAATTAAAAAAATCATAATAATTTTTTCTAATTAATTTTATTTGTATACTATATAGGTTTTGCATCCTGCAGCAGAATCAGTAAATGTAAATGAGAAAATATTGGATATTTATATAAATCAGATGCTTCCACTATTTTGTACTGAGGTTAATGATGATGCAAACTTTGCAACTACTGCTGCTTGTGACATTCAGCTCTTGCAGGTAAATATTTATTCGCATTCAATATTTTTATTAAATTAAATAATTTAATTTTATAATTAACAATTAAATTAAATATTATATCACTTAATCGTAATTAAATAAAAAAATAACTGTACGAAAGAAAACACGTCTTGCATTCGAGTTGTTTGTTGTAAACACAAAATATGAGTAACTTTTTTTTTTTTAAAACTCAAAATAAGATCACGATCCATTGACTAATATATGTCGCTATATATATAACTTATATAATGAAACAATTTATTTTATTATTGTAATATAAATAATCGAATAAATAATTTTGAGATTGGACAAATACTCCCAATTAATCAAATACAAAATAAAAATAATTCTATAATTATTTTTGAGATTATTATTTGTTTTTCCTCATATGACCCCTAATTCTCTTTTTTTTTGTTCTTCAAAAAGAAATTTAGCGTAGTAAAAAGAAGATATTATTTTAAAAATTTTCGTTTGAGGTTTAATATTTATTTTAAAGTCTGATGAATTTTATAAGCTTTTTTATTTTTTATTTTGTTGAAGGCACTATCTAGAAGGATTCACTATGGAAAATTTGTTGCTGAAGTTAAATTTAGAGATAGTATTGATGAATATAAACCATTTATTCTTGCTCAGGTATCTCATTACTTACAATTAATTATAGTGTACTCATTCACAATTCATACAGTAATATTAGTAATTTTTGATATATCGTTGTTGTTGCAGGATAGAGATGCTTTAATGAAGTTATTAACATTTGAAGCGGTTGAAGAGATGGTGAAGAAGAGAGTAGCGAAGAAAGCTAAAGTGTTTGGTCAAGAAGTGAGCTTAAACGATAACGCTGAAGAAGTGAAGGGCAAAATTGATCCATTGTTAGTTTCACGTTTATATGATGAATGGGTTATGCCTTTGACTAAACTTGTCGAAGTTGAATACCTCCTGCGTCGTCTTGATTAATTGAGCTTATTATTATTATTGTAATGATTTTCGTCACCATTATTATCATTTGTTATTGTTATCGATCGACATTTATGCAGATGAAAATGACGATTCATGACATTTGTGAATTGCCAAAAAGTTGAGCTAATTGTCATTCTTTAGTTATGGATATGATTTACTTAGCTTATGGATAGTTAAAATTATTATTTTAATCTTGAATGTTTCTTAAAATATAATACACCCTCTATTTTGACATCTATTTTGACAAGTTAGAAAAATTTATTTAATTTATTTTTTATCATTAAATAAATAATCATTTTTCAAATCCAATTATATAAAATATATGAAAAGGAACCGTGTGAATTGTTGACATAAATTGATGGACTTATTTCCCACAAGGAAAAAAATTCCATATTAATGAAATTGAGATACTAAAATTAAAATGTAATTTATGAAACTTATTTATTTATTAAGAACGATTCATTTTTCGATCACGTTTCTCCCTTTCTACGTTTCAACCGTGCATACATCTCGTTTCATTAAAAAAATCATTTTTTCCTGTTCAAAAATGTTATTTTTCAAAGATTTAACAATTAAATATGAAAAGTTTGAAAAATAGTATCTTCGTCAGTACCAAATATATACATGTAATACTCCATTTTGATAATTTTTTTCCAATTTACTTTATTTTTCTAATTACATCTTTGGTCCCTAAAGTAAGTATTATTATGGTTATAGACATCAACTATAATTTTCTTTATTTTCAACCCCTAAAGTTTTCATTAGAACCTTAAAGACTAAATGAGATAGGTAGAAGAACTCCATTAGAGGTTTAGCAATTAGCAGCCATGGAGATTCAGCAATTTTCACCATTTACTATCACACCTTGCCATTTTCACCCAATTCCAAACTCTAACCACCACCCAGTTCTTGTTTCCCCATTGAAACAGCAAAGAAATTTGCTAAAACTAAGCCCTCTTTTTTGTTCTTCTTCTCATAGCAATCCTGTTGTGCAAGACCCAATTTTGCAACAAGGGAATGGTTCTTTGGGGAAAAGCAGAGATACCCATTACAAGAATTCAAGAAAAAAGAGGGTTTTTTTCTTGGATGTTAATCCTATTTGTTACAAAGGAAGTATTCCTTCTTTGCAATCTTTTGCTCATTGGATTTCCATTTTCTTCTCTCAAGTTAGCCTCACTGATCCTGTTATTGCTGTAAGCTTCCTCTCGGTGTATAACTCTGTTTGTTGAGCTAGGAGATGAGAAAGAAAAGAGTTGGAGTGTTAGGGGTGGTATATACTCTATAAATATAATCTTTACTTATTGATTCACCTTATTGTACCTGAAAGTATTTGTACATGTTTATAATAGTAGTTTTTGTCAATATGAATACAAAGTTTAAGAAAAAGCTATTGAGTTCGTCTGAATGAGCTAGAACCTTGCTTGGAAGGTGTAGATGGTAGTATATGAAAGGATCATGAACTACATATTGTTTGAACTGGGTGATTGTTTTACAGGTTATTGATGGAGAAAGAGGTAATGAGTATAGAAGGCAGTTGTTACCTTCCTATAAAGCAAGTAGGAGGAAATACTGGCATCAGTTGCAAGGTGCAGTAAAATCTCCACGGAGTACGATTGAAAGGTCACATAGGCTCATCTTGGATGTTCTTCAGAGCTGCAATGTTCCTGTGAGTGAACAATTTCTTCATCAATACTTGTAGTTTTGATTTATTGATGCATCCTTGGAATCTGGTTTCTTCAGTAGTCTGAAGTTGACGGTTATCTTTACTACCGATTTGAGGAAGGTCTTCTATTTTTTTGTGCATCGACGGTGTATTTACTGATATTAACTACAATCTTATTTCTAACTGATAAAATACTAAGAAGCATGAACCATGATATAGATTTAATTTTCCTACTTGTCAGAAAGAAATTTGCTTCCGAAATGTGAGTTGCTTATGGCAAGCAACAACTCTGGAGATTCATATATAGCAAAAGTTGAATGGAGAAAGAACGAATCTTGGACCAAACAAATAAATCCATGAACTTTGAATGGAACAATCAATACCAGCTAGTTTTCTCTCAAGAGAACAGTTTCTGAGGCCTATTAATGTCATTTCAGCTTTAAGTTTGGGTGAGAACACATACAGACACACAACCTTATTAACAACGAGAAATAGTAAATTACAACCAGTGGCCTACATATCCCAGTACTCCCCTTATGATATTTTTGACTTAATATTTTCCTGCTACCTTGTGCATCTCCTGCCTCAGGTTTGACTATGGTGGTTGTGTTTATAGTCTATGTTGCTCAGACTCTTTAGCAATGTTGCCAGGTTCATGTCGGATCTTCCAAAAACAGTGTATTTTGGAGGATTCAGCACAGGTGTGGCATCAGTTTTGGAGAGTCCGAGCAACTATAACTGCAGACTTAAATATATTTTTGGGCTGGATATTCTTGCTCAGAATATTATTTTTTGCACTAAACAGTCTTGTTTGAACGCTTTCTTCTATGTGTTGCTCATATATTTTTTTGCGTTACGCAATCTTCTGAGCATAACGAGAAGGGCTTTTGACCAACTGTAGTATGCAGGTAGTTAAGATTGAATCACATGAAGCAGATGATGTTATAGCCACACTTGTAGAACAGGTTCTACAAAGGGGGCACCGAGTTGTGGTTGCCTCTCCTGATAAAGACTTCAAACAACTGATATCTGATGATGTTCAAATTGTCATGCCAGTACCAGAGTTCAATAGATGGTCCTTTTACACCTTAAAACACTATGTGGCACAGTACAATTGTGATCCGAGATCTGATTTGAGCCTGAGTAAGTATGTCACACTCCTTTTAGGTGTGGTTTTATCTTAACTTAAGTTACTGGTTCATGTACTTATTGAAGCTAATAATATCTTATTCATAGCTGGAAGTTGAAAGTCGTTATTTTACTTCCTTGTAAGGCAGGGTTTGGGTGAGATTTAGAGAACTGTAGTTTTAAGAGATTCCCGTTTATATTAAAAGGTATATTATGGAGTAGTGAAATGAAGTGGTCCTGAATAGAGCACACCAAATATAGAGGATTCATATAACCAACCCCTGCTAGTTTGTGACTGACGTTTCACTGATTGGGATATGAACACTAAGAGAGGCGTAGTTAGGGAGTGGTTCTTTCCCGGAAGAGGGGTAAAATTGAAGGACGGTGTGGGAATTTAATCTTGGATAAGATATCTTTTTCTTCTAATTTTTACTACATCTTACTAAATATTTTTTCATACCAAATATTTTTAAAAGTTCTTCCATTGATATGAACATACCTTCAATACATCTGTAACTCTTTATTCTTCTCTTTTATCGTACCGGATTCGGTCAACCATTTTTGGGTACTTTGACCAAAATTGACAGAGAAATTCAGGACAACTACGATGATTTCTGTAATCAAAACAAAAGCTAACGTGAAATTGAAAAAAATGAAGTACCCTGTATACATAAATTTCTATGTCAGTCTTTTCCTTATACCACCTTCTGTAAATCTACTCTTGATCAATATTCTCTCCTCAGAATACCCTTTTAATTTACCTCATAATGTTCTCATAATTTAGACATGCAACTCCATTCTTAGACATTTGAATTATTTTTAGCCGAATCCCCGCACCCCTATCGGTACCCTTGAATCTTAAAATGTAGATCATGAAGGATCTGACCTCTAAATCTGCACCTGTATTTGACACCCGCACCCAAGTCCGAGCACCTTAGGTCAAGAACATCATGAAGACTACCTTTGCATTGTGAAGAAAGTGCAGGCGGCACTTGGTAAAATGAAGAACAAAAGCCTCTTTTGTTGCCATATAGCTTCATGTGTTTCATTTTATCCTGTTCTTCTTATAAGGCTTTAGCATTTTTCCATGTCTGCACTTCTGGGCTTTAGCAATATAGGCTAGCTACCGTAGGGGATGAGTGGATTTTTGATGCTTCAGTGTCGATGCTGTTAGAATTATCTAATCACCAGTTTTGTTCTCGAGTGTCTGCTGTTATTATGTTGGCTGCTAACTTTTTGTGGTTTTCTGGATAAGGGTGCATACTGGGCGACGAGGTTGATGGTGTTCCTGGAATCCAGCATGTTGTTCCTGGTTTTGGTCGAAAGACTGCTTTGAAGCTTTTGAAAAAGCACGGTACACTGGAGAATTTACTTAATGCTGCTTCAGTAAGATCAGTGGGCAGGCAGTATGCACAAGATGCCCTTATCAAGTACGCTGATTATCTGCGCAGAAATTATGAAGTTCTCTCTCTGAAGAGGTAGCATTTTCATTTTTTCTTTCTTCTCTGTAACAGCAAAAGAGTTATTCAGTATCCAAGCCCCTTTCATAGCTTCCTACTTCTAACTATTGTAAATGGAATGACACTAAAAGGGATGTCAGTATCCATATTGAGGAGCAATGGCTTAATGAGAGGGATGCGCGTAATGACTCACTTGTTTTATCCAACTTCGTCACTTCGCTGGAAGACAGTAGGAATCTTAATTTGGAAAAGAGATCGCATTCCATTGGTTGAAATTGCCAGAAGAAAGCATTTTTGTGAGTTTCTTCTTTACTTCTTTATTTGTTCCATTTTTATTCTTCAGCTTTGACGGAGTGGCATATTAAGTATCTTCTGGATAGCAAAGACGGTAAAATGTCAAAAGGTATAGTGAAAGGTCTTTTAGCTTGTCTACATTTTACGGTGACCATATATCTAGCCTATCTTACCAAAAGAAGACATTACCTCTAGCCCATATTTCAATATATCACACATCAATCCAGAGTTGATTTTGCTTTGGGTTGAAATGACAATATGAGCAACAAAAGATTCTGCTCCAGACCCTTTTTTTTTTGAAGTGGCTAGTGTTTTTGATGTTAAAATCAGAGCACTAAGGAGGTGCTGTAGCTACATACAAAAAGATTACAAGTGAATATTAAAAAAGTTAACAGGATGTCTCGAGTATCATTCTAATCTAACACCAACAAGTTATCAACATAATACAATCTTGTTTCCAGCTTTAGGTATGTTTTTCTACAAATTTAGTATTTATGTTATAATTTCTTTTACATTCTGAATGATGTCGGAGAGCTTGTATGATGTTGAGTGAATTAAAATAAATTAACTAGAAAGGCCTAATTACAGTTACCACATTGAAAAGATGATTTTGTCATGAAGAAGAAAACAATGTAAAAACATGGACACCCTGCAAAGGAACAGAAAATGATATGAATTTCATGTTATTCAAATTCTCAAGTGCTTGATGTTCTGTTTTATGCAGTGTGTAAGTTATAATGTAAGCTCTACAACCTGAAGAACAAAGATCTTGATGCTTCAGCAGAAGTATCAAACTAAACCAATAGACGATTACCGAACTTAGCCAGAAGATTTGATCAGATGAACCGGACTGAATCAGAATATCCAAATTCACAGTGAGTATAGACTAATACTCTCTATTTCATGTCTATTTGTTTCAATAACACTAATTCATTTTTCTTCATGTATCAGATAGAAGCATACAGTAGAAAACTTAGCTATTATTCCTCTTGGACGAATCACTAAGGAAGAGACTTCTGAGGTCTAAAATGTACAGTAAGTTTGAGTTTCTTTTAGTAGTGCCTCTAGAATAGATTCGTGGTACTATTGTATGCTCCACAAACAACACGTGAGGTCGTCTGAAACTAATGGGGGCCTGTGTTAAGGTATCTTCAGTGCTCATCTGTGGTGATTTAAGAACATGGCAAAGACCCAACTTGTATCCATACTTTATTCAATATAAATCCTATTTGGACCCTCAGTTCAATTGCATTACTCCCTGTTTTCACCTAATCTCAGTCGAATATACGAAGACCACTGTAAACTATTTAACTTTTTAATTACCTTTCTCCTCAGTCTTTCTTCTTTAACTTTCATTATCTTGTATGGATTTCTCCAGACATTATTTTTTTATTTTCATTTTTCTTGATTTTGCTGCAATACCTGTAAGATTTTTCATTGATTTGAGGAGAATCATCAGAAATTCTCATTAATTTCCTCAAGTTTGGTAAGAAACCTGAGGTTTTTTATCGCAGGGGCGGATGCAAATTGAGTAAAGTTTGACACAGCTTTAGTGGAAAGTTTTACCATTTGATAGACATATAAAAGAGAAATGACATTGTTCAAGTGCATCAAAGAAAAAGAAGGAAGAAAACAAATTACACTGTGCAAGCCAACCAGGATGTCGTCAACGCCCTTCTCCAAAGGCAATACAAGTTCTTCTAGATGTTATTTCATAGCCATCTCGTTTCACTGCTTTCATGGTGCCTCAGTTACCATAATTTGCCATATTGTTCTTTACACCTGTCATAAACTGGTCCAAACCAAATGGATCAGCCTCAAATTCCACAGGTCTATCTCTAGGATCAGTCCTCTCAGAAGTTCCAGCAAATGCATTGTCTGGCTTAGAGTGAGTGATCTTCTCCTGTTGCTGCTCTCCGTAAGTATCACAATCAACGTCTTTTTTTGGTCTGTACAGAGTACACTGAGCAGTAAATAAGATGTTGTCATATAGGTTATAGGCATCGTCAGCAGCAAATCCAGAATCAATCCCTTTCTCCTGGTTAAACAATCTCTGGTCATACATCGTGGCCTCTCCACAACCTCTTGATGTAGAAGCCATCCCAAGAGCGACCTTTTCGCTGATATCACGGTCTCCATCTCTGGTTTTGATCTTTCTCCTCTTCATTGCTGCACCCTCTTTTGCCTCCAACAATCTCCTCTCCTGATGTCGCTCCTTGCTTATCTTCTCTCTCCATAATCGACCCTCATAATCATCCCCATCATTCTTAAGACCTGCAGCTATCTCAGCTCTCGCATTGCGAGCCAACTCCTGAAGCTCCATCTCTTTCAGAATAATCTCTCTCTGAACCTTTGACCGCATTGCAATTGCTTCCGTAGCTTTCTCAGTTGCAACATACAGAGCCTCAGCAAGTTTTGGGAAATCATCATTGATCTTTACTTCATCAATTCCTCTGCTCCCATCAGCGGCAAGACGCTTATCAAGTGGGATTGTGTAACCTTTAGGGTTCTTCCAGTTCGATATACAAGGCGGAATCTTCCAATCCTGTTGATCCTTCACCGTAACAGGACGAGGAGGAGAATGCATAACGGGCACTGGCGGTGAACCTGATGCCCTAGGTACCTTCTTGTGCTTGAACTTGGGTGGCTCCATAGGGTCTACTGCCTTCTCAACCATCTTAACAAGCCTTGAACCCTGCTGCTGCTTACAAGGCTTGTACTTAATGAACTTAAGTGACTCCATAGAGTCCCATGATTGTTGTGTACCAATCTTCTGAAGAAGGATAGCCTTCGTCTCCCGAGTAGTCTCGTCGATTAGTTTCTTCTTCTCTTGTTCCAAGTCTTGGTCATGATCCTTGACAAACTTGGGAACAAGATCGTTGTAGTGACAATATACAATTTTCTGAGAGTTTTCGGCTTGTCTCGCAATCGTATCGTACCTGACGTGACCGTGTTCGTCCACAGTAACAGGCAATGTGTTTCCTCCAACTTTCATGCTACTCATGATGATGGAGAAAAAGAAGAATCAAAATTATGAATGTAAGAAATAGGTTATATAAGGAGTATACATGTAGAATCCTAAAAGGAAAAGGAAAGGATCCTAATTCCTAGTGAAACAGGAAAAGGAAAAATTTCTTCCTATTCAAACAGTTATTATTGTAATTCTAATGAAAAATTAGCTTATGAGTTTAACTGCTATCCATCGACGGTGGACAAAAAAATTACACGGACATTTTATTTTTGGAAATATTTAATTTTTTTAATTAATATATTTTAATATTATTAATATTAAAATAAAAATAATAACATAGTGTTATATGGTAACTTGAATTATAAATTAATTGTACAAATTTAATTAGGATTCTTATTTGTCTTCCCAAAAATAAAAAATACATAATTTCTTGTGTTTTCTTAGTTGGATTAACGTTCTTCTTTTTCTACATAAACCATTGAAGCAACCAACTATCCACCATTGAAGCAATTTGAAACAATTATCATGGTAGCGTTTTCCTCGTATATCTTTTTTTACATAACTTATTAAGTCTTTTTCGCAACATGAATAAACGTTTCAAAGAAATATTCTTGTTTTAATGTATGAAGAAATTTATGTTTTGTAGTGATGAAGATATTTAAAGAATACGTTTAAGAACTTTTTAGCAAATTGAAGAAGTTCAATACATTAGCCATGAAAAATATTTAAAATTTTAAAGCTAACTTACCCTATCAGTCTAATATCTAATAATTGTGTATTGCAGGAAACTTTTGAAATCTCTAATTTAGAAGAGCAAAATGCAGAAGGAATTGAAGATTCCTTGGAGGATATAGAAAGCAACATGAATGCAGTTGTATCTTTTGTTCCTCAACTAGGTGAGCAAGAATTAAGAGAGCCTTACATCGGTATGGAATTTCAATCACTTGATACTGGATTTAAATTTTATCTTGATTATGCTCATCGTAATGGTTTTAGTGTGCGCAAAAATCGAATTAGTAGATCAAGAAAAGATAAATTCATTATTGGTCAAGAGTTTGTTTGTTCAAAAGAAGGATTTCGTTTAAAAAAATGTAACCAAGCATGCAATTGTGATTAAATCATGGGCCGTATTTAATAGTGTTTGATTTTGTTTGCTTACTCTTATAAGTTTGAATATGTTGATTTTGTTGCACTTTATGTTTCTGGAATAGTTTCATATTAATATTTTGCTAGCATTGCTTCAATGGCAACAAGTACCGGTTCTTATAAAAAAAAATAATATGTTGGCAATGATTTTCTTTGAAGGATTGAAGTGCTTTCCAATAAGAAAACACAAGAAATTATATATTTTTTTATTTTTGGTAAGACAAATAAGAATCCTAATTAAATTTGTACAATTAATTTATAATTCAAGTTACCATATAACACTCTGTTATTATTTTTATTTTAATATTAATTATATTAAAATATATTAATTAAAAAAATTAAATATTTTCAAAAATAATATGTCCGTGTAATTTTTTGTCCACCGTCGATGGATAGTAGTTAAACTCTTAGCTTATATCTATCGATAGACATAATACGATCCTAAACTTGGCTTCAAATTTTAACTTTGAACTCCAACTCTCAAAATGCACAAATACACACTTTATCTATTCAATTTTTAAATAAATAAACATACGAGTCCTACATGGCAAAATATACGTAGGACAAAAATGACTTGTGTGTCTATTTGTTCAACTTTATACAAGTTTAAGTGTTTACTTGTGCAAATCCAAAGTTTAAGGATATAAATGTGATTCGAACCCAAATTAAAGGGCATATTTGCCCTATCAATATGTGTTGGCCGCTCGCCCAATTCGGTTTTGTTTTCTCTCCTTAATTTTTGTTATTGCAGCAGAAACATTAAACTATTATTCCAATCTATTAAGTATATTTGGAAACTATATAAATAAATATACTATAACTCTAGTTAACAATTCAAAGTATTTAGAAAGCTTTAAAAACATATGACCAAAGAGAATATTTCTTTTTTATTTTCGAGCCAGCAACTACGACAAAAAAATATATACTTTCATCATCATGTTTAAAATAAAGAAAATCCTTCAATAATTTTTTTTTTTGAAATACCGGAATGGGAGAACATATAAAAAATCTAAAGCAAAATTGTGGTTGAAGAAGGAGAAGTAGTATTTTTTTCCCCTCTACAACCTTTATCATGGCAGGATGGAGCTTATGCAAAGTAATCATGTGAGTATCATAAATCTTCGACCGTTGTTGAAATTGAATCATAGACATACAACTCTTGGTACTTGTGTTGATGAGAAGCAGATGTAGAGTAGTTCTTTATTTTTTCCTGGTTTCAGAGACCAGTGTTACAAAATAACTAATCATGAAAAAACCAACAATCTCAAAATGAGATTTTATCCATCAAGGAGAATGGGAGAATCACAAGACTAAAAAACAAACTTGTTTTTGGTGTATCAATTTGTTCTTGATAATTAGAGGGCAAACATTTTCCCCAAATATCATTCGATTTTGCAACAACTTTGAATTGCTTTGATGATAAGATTATTGAGCTTGCTGCGAATGATTTTTGTAAATCATATCATATATTATTATAATTGGGAAGCTCCAAACTCAAAGTTGAATTGCCATTTTACCTTTAAAATAAATTAATATTAATGTCTATTTAATTAATTAAATATTAAATAGAATGCATCATATATTCATGTACTAATTAAATGTAGATAATGAAGAGTCTAGTAACCTTTCAATTTTAATTTGTAAGATAAGTGGGGGTAAGTGAAGAGTCTATCAAACATACTCACACCACATTATTTATATTCCTTGTGTTATTCAAGTTTGTAATCATCTTGTTAGTCTACATCCCTTGTAAAACTTTCATTACCAGATTGTAATTATAAGAATTCTTACTATTTTATTTATTTGTATTCGTTAAAATTTCATGCATATTCATTTCTTTTTGTTGAGAAATATGTAAATTATGATAGTTACAAGATGAATATACTCCAATATGAAGTTGTAAGTAAATACTTATTTTTCATATCTCCATCGTTTTGAGTTTTTAAATATAACTTCGTAGTTGATAACTGTATTTTTGTATTCAACATTTCTTCTATTTTTAGGAAATATATAGTAAAACTAATCACATTTTGTATTTATCATTAATTATTTTTAGGGTAAACATGTTAAATCTCATAGAATAATAATTATGTCTTTTTCATTGTTTCGTAATCATTTATCTTTTTAAACCAACATATTTTTACTTTTTCCTTTTTATATGTAATCTCAACTGTTTAAAAAATTCATGTACTTAACTGTTATAGAGAGGTACAAAAATAAGTGCAAAAGTAAAATAAAAATAAAAATAATGTATAATAAAAAATGACTAAACGAAACATTGAATAATATTGTTTCAGAATTCATTATATATATATATATATATATATATATATATATATATATATATATTATCTTTATTCTTAACATATTCATGTCTTCTTTTCTGTTTGTCTTATTTATTATTATTATATGATTATAGTTTTTTTATACATATGATATGTTTCGTCTAGAGTAAGTCATGTTTTGTCTAGAGTGAGTCTACTTTTAACAAAATATAATTCAATTAGTATGAAAATATTTTTGTCTATATATTTTAATGTGATGTCTTTTATTATGGATGTCATGTCTTTATTTACTTTTTTTTTTCCGTTTGAAATTGTAATTTTTCCTATAAAATTTGATGATATACCGCCAAAATATTTTGTAATATTTTTCTTTATACGTATCTTTTTTTTATAGATAATTTTTTTTTTGATTATTAAAACTTATGTGTTTAGTTATTAAAATATATTAATTCCTCTGATAAAATAAATGTTTATTTTTCATGAAGTATTTAATATATCAAACCTCCAATATCTAACACATTATTTTCATGTTATATTTTGTGCAGAGTTATATTCTTATGTTAAACTTATATATGAAATGACTTAGATTTGAACTTAGCTGTATAAATTAAAGTTTTCTAATATCAATTAGGGGACAAACGCGCGATGCACGTTCCGAGAACTAGTATTATTATAAGTGTGAAGCTCCAAAAATTCAAAGTTGAATTACCATTGTACCCCTATAATAATTATTTATTTTTAAATATTAGTTCATATAATATTATTAAATTATACTTACTGAAATTAATAACATAATAAAAACCAAATTCAGTTTTGAAAGTGCAAATTTATCGTCCTTCATTATTGATAAGCTGAATGCATTAAAACTATTTAATATCCTCGGAAGGTGGAAGAGCGAAAACATTCATAAATTTTACTAGATAAAAAAGTATACATGCATTGGAATAAATAATTTAAAAAATAAAGCAATAATGATTTAGCCTTTTAAGTTACCTACTTTTATTATGCTCTTTGAACCATTGTCATTATTTTTTTTTAAAAAAAAACTCATATTAAGGTGTTAGCCAGTTAGGTCAAAGATATCAAAAGGTCTCTTCACGGATCACTTAATTTGTAACGTTTTTATCTTCTATTAGTAGATTCTCCATTTTCCTATATTATATATTCTACTTTCTCATGTAATCATGTTATCTTTATTTTTTTTATATGAGTTTGTTGAATATTTCAACTACTAATAAAATTTTTTAAATTTGACTTTTTTTATGAAGATACAATTAAGAAATGACGCTAATATTTCATAGTGATGATGCAGTAAGTGAAGCAACACATATTGAACCGTTTCAAGTGGTATCGATTTTCAGGTAATAAATCATTGTTCCTTATATGCAATTAATTATTTTTATGTAAGTTGATATGTTCTTAATAAAATTTTGGTTTGATTTTTAAACAAAAATCATTTTATAGAAGTTGAGACGGTACACTTAATTGGATTCTAAAAAAAAAAAAGAGTCTTTTACACAAGGACAAGAAGAAAGACTTTTAGCTTTATCACTGCATTCATGACAATCAATGGAATATCCTACAAGACAAAAAGTTGATGTGATTCTGTACAAGTGAATCCAACTCACTAACAAAAAAATTAAAGAAAGATAAAAAAAATGAACATGAAGAGATTCAACGGTGTCTTATAAGTTGATGAACCATTGTAACTTCATTATTTTTTAAATTTACGAGGAAATAAATTATTGACGAAATTTATGAAATGTACATATATACCTTTGGGTCGGTAAAAATGTGATTGAAAGTAGTATTTTTCATGCATAATAGCTAATTCTTGATATATATATTGTTTAAATTTATTATTTACACTACAAACATTGTATAAAGTATTTTTAGATAAATATGCAACTCACGTTCTCGAAAACTAGTACTTAAAAAAATGCAGCCTTCTGGCAGCCTTTCAAAGTAATCCATTGGAGAAATGGACTTTGAAAAGTTCATCTCAAAATCCTTACAAAAGTCCATAACAGAGAAATACAATAAAAATTATTTTTATACCAGCTTTATATATGATTTAAATAGTCAAAAGAGAATTGATTTTAGAAATCTATTTTGTTAGTTATAGTAACTCTAAAGATCAACATATATAATTATGACTTTTATCGTAAATTTGACTAGATGCTATTTTCTTTTCTTTTATATTAACTAATAAAAGAAAACTTATTCAAACTTCAGTTAAGTCTATTGCGACCAATTTTATAAAACTAAAAATAAGAAATACGAGAAAATTTCTATTTTTGTCTCCTAGAAATAAATGTATTGACATTTATAAATTGTTATCTTGAGTTCTCAAATAACTTATATCGCTAGCTTTGTATGTTTTTCGAGATAACTCTCTTGTGATTATAGGTATAGCATGTCTCCTTATAACATCTCCATTCACTATGTTTTCATACAATACACTTAATTAACTTATGATTTAGCCATGATCAGTTAGTTGATTTGGTGTAAACATCATATGTGAACAAGATTTTATCGAAGTAAGTATCTGGATGTCGATGTAGAACATGACCAAACCATCTCATTTGTTGTTGTTTTTAGCAAATTTACCACTAGACGGAGTTTCTAGCAGCCATTTATTAAAAAAAAAATCTCAATAGGGATAAGTACAAGCAATGGGGACTACACCTTACCTTGCCAATCCCTAACGAAGTTAGAAACCGCTATTAACTAACAAGCATGAAGAAGATAATAGCTAGATATAACTATGTATTTTTTTTTTATCACCAAGAAATTTGTAGTACACTCTATGACTATTAACAAATAAGGATGCTTAAATAATGAAAAAAGTATAACAACCAAGAAAGAT